TGTTCTCTGGTGTGAAGCAAAGCTGTCTTAGACCTTGCCAGGTTTAACATTTACCGCCATGCAATGATGTCTTGTGCTTTTGATGCCGTTTGTACTTACGTTGTTCCTGTGAAGCATCGTATTGATGGGGGGTTGCTGAACATCCGTCGTTTTGGTGCGAGAACCCTAGCGTGTAAGACAACTATCCCTATGTTGCTGTTTGCTGACCACTGCGCGTTGTTTGCACACAGCGCGGATGAGTTGAGCACATGACTACTGCCCTCGCTTCGAGAGTGGCCAAATTCGACATCACCAACAAGACAAGAAAGACTGTGTCTTTTTCAGCCTTCACCAGGATTGTATTTCGTGGGTTTGCTCAAATCCAGATTGCTACCAACATTTTGGAGACAACGTCGAAATGTGCCCACCTAGGCAGCGTAATGTCTACCGACTTGCAGATGACGAGCGAGCTACGCATCCGCGTATCCAAGGCGGCTGCTGCTTATGGTAAATCAGGGAAACATGTGTGAAACAACCACCATCCGAGGTGGCAGGTGCATTGTGTATATACATGATATCTTAGAAGCGAGTAGAGTGGAGCGCCATCGGTAGGCAGCTTCGAGGATTCCGTTTGGGTACATGTAAAGATCAAGTCCTATCGCTTTCTTGTCAGTTTCAGTTACTCACCGCTTCGAGATACCAATACTAGACTAGACAAATTGACTGTTATTTGAATACGCAAATGAAATGCTGTCCAATTAAAAATATTATTAGAGGCGATCTCATTATGCCTGATGTTTTATGACATGATCAAAACTGCATCAGCTAGACATCGGAAATTTCGTTCTTGATTACTATGACATGGGTGGACTCGGCAACTTGCTTGCCTACCAGGGGCACCAAAGTTCTTAAGCCTGTACTTTATGTCCGGCATATCCTGTGCATTAACACACTGACAACCTCCATGGAAGTGATCATAATCTTATCCAACTAACCGTTAAAAGTGTCCCACTAACAACAGCGACTCCTCGCTATGCCTGCGAATATCGACGACACCACAAATTGGACTGAAACAGATTTCTTCAGATTGTTAGATCCCTTGACTGGGATGCGGAGCTGCACGCTATCGGGCGCGTCCCCAGGTTGCGGATCGAGGAATGCCTTGCTTGTGGAGGTAACTGTGAATAAGTCTCGGCTGTGCGCAGGCGAGATGGATAAGTAGTCGCGGACAATCAGCGGCAGCGTATCTCAGAGCGTGGGGAGTTCTGGGTTGGTCACCCAGTTCTCCATTAAGTACCATAAGTGCTCGTACGGCGCTGTGTCAAAGCCAATGTGACCGGCTATAGGGTCACTGACCACTCGCTCCTGTAACTGGGGGGTGAGTATCTAACGGAGGGCGGATGAACAACGTCGCTGGCCACCGGCTTCTCTGTGGACTACTTCCGAACGCAAAGAAGGCGAATGAGCCATCTGGCTGTCAACGCTTCATGAATCACCCCGCTGCTTTGCGGGTCAAGTCATTAAGATCAAAGGCTCAGAGTGGGTCCTTTAAGTCAACCCTTTTCATCGGCCTGGGCAACCGGGAAGCTTAACGCCCACACAGCACATGGAACTTTCCATCCATTCAGCTGACTCTCTCTTTCTTCTTTTTGTTATTGTTACTCATGTGTCGTGGCACTCTGTCAAATGTTTATTAGGTATGTGTTTATATATATATATATATATATATATATATATATATATATATATATATATATATATATATATATATACGGCTGGGATGACTTCTTTACAGACATTCCAGATACTGTGGCCAATGAGTTTCACAAGCATTTGATCTATTGTACTGATATGCTTACTCCGAAGCAATATAAAGAGCAGCCATTGCCTCACCTTCAAAACCCCATTCCTAAAGCTGTTGCGATGCGTCTAAAACGATTCCGTTCCAGATTTAAGTAGACGAATGATAGAAGAGTGATCATACAAACTAATAATATCCTCCAGGACTTGCAAACCAAATAAGAAAGGAAATTTGCGTCATAAGATGCACAAGTGATAGCAGCTCCCGGTCACAATTATACGTTGCATCGCATAATGAAAGATAGATACTCCAAAAGAGTAAGAACAAGCAACAGTTTCGCGGAATAATTTGAATTCATCACATTTCGTGTATTGTCATCAGCCGCTCATATACGATGGGTGAAAATGTCGAACGTCCGGGAGTGAAAGAGCAATACCCCATCCGATAAAAGCCTCATTATCGAGCACGAACAGCCAAGTGAGTCATCTAATAAGTATTTCTTCCCATCGTTTGGTGCCGTTGTTGCATAAGACTGTGTCCTCTCATCAATAGAAGAGTACAGTTGAGTTCAAGCTATATCGTATTAGCAGGAAGATTACACCCTTAAAGCGTACATTTCACCCTAGAAACCGATAGCATACCGTCAGAATTGCTTAAACTCGGCAACCTCGCTATGCAATAATAACAGGCGTCCGCCATACTAGGTGAAATCAGGCCACAATCACATCTCGACACAAAGGGGATGACCTCAGAAATTAGGAAATTACATCCCACTGGCCTTGCTTCCAGAATGACTCGAAATATGGAAAGAATATTCAAATATAAAATTATACAGTTTCGAAAAACACAACCTGATCGACAAATCGCAACATGGATTCCTCCGTGTTCGATCGCGGAAATTGCTGGATTATGTAACCAAATCAGCTGATTCGGGACAGTCGCTGGTTATTACTCTATCCGACTTGGAAAAAGCATTCGATCGTGTATTCTAAGCGGATCCCCGTACAAAGTTTGCCGCTTATGGGATTGCTAACCCCCAAACTAACATGTATGCTATAACGTTTATCTACACGCACGCAATGTGGCAAAGTTAGCAACTGCGTATCTGCACTTATACCAGTAACCAGTGGCAGCATACAGGGAAGCGTTTTAGATCCACCGCTATTCCTGCTTTACTTAAATGACATCTTTCGGAGTTTTCGATATGGCAACCCTTTATTTTCGCGGGTGACATCAAAGTTTGTTCGCGTTTGATGAGAAGAATGCTCTAGACTACGATAAGAAAATACCAATGGAGCTCTGCGCCCTCCCAAGGTGGTGCGGAGAGTGGAAAATGACGTTCTCCGCCTGCAAGTGTAAATTTCTATTATTCCGCCGTGACAGAAAATAGCCGTGCCAGTGGTCCCTGCCATATGGGCTGGCTGGACATTTATTTGCCTTGGTGATGACGGAAGTTCGCCTATACATGGCTCCCATACTCGCCATGCAGTTGTTAAACCTCTGGCGCAGTGGTGAGTGGACAACCAGCACATATGTTTTCACAAACCTGGCCTTCCTGAGTCATTCGTTCCGTCTGGCGTACGAGAATAGCATAGTCAACAGAAATCACAGACGTGAAGGCAAGTAATGCGTTAGGGAACACTGGCATATTCCAGTTTGCTTTTCATCATAGATCTTGAATTCATCTCCTCCATAGCTTTACTGAAGATGAGATGGTAAAAGAGCAGCAAGTTGAACCTTACGAAGTCCCAAAATACCATATTAAACAACCATCCAAGCTTACGAGACTTGACCTTTTGGACCCGTAGTCGTCCAGGTCCACACTATTCACTTTTCAACTAAATGAGCACTACAGAAATTGTTTATGAAATCTTTTATTCTTATCTTCCATCCGTATTCTACGCCGCGAACTTGATTCACCACAGTAGCTAAGGTAACCATAATGTTTAATCTCACCGCATGTTTCTCAAGAATTCTGCCGGATATGCTCTTATAAGCCTGGAAAAACCAGTATATTAGACGCGCCACGTCGCAAGTAATAAGCATTTTGAATACTGCGCTTTTGGGCTTCGTATGACAATTCCGAATTTCATCAACAGAGCCGGTTCACTTTTCTACAACATGCACAGCAGCATTCAGCTATGGTTTGGGGAATCATGCGTATCAGACGAACACAACGCGGTGGCTGGGCCGTAGCCAGTTCCACAATGGATGCCTGGAGCCACTCTTTTCACCCAGCACCGTTACGAGAACTGTGCACCCCGCCCCCCCAGCAATGATTTACAGTCTCATGGAGCCAGTATAATCGAGGTGGGAGTAATAGGCAAGTAAGCGCCTTGTCAAAACTCACATCAAGCGCAGCCAGGCAATGCATATCCTACGGGAGGGTTCATGTGTCAAACGCACGTCCGACACACAGTCAGTGGAGTCTAGCCCGACTGAGAGGACAAAGCACATCACATGCCTTATCAGCCTCGATATTGGCAACTGCACAATGGCAGTTCGAATCCAGCATTACTACGTACATTTACATGCATATGTCCGCATTTGTGTATGAAACTGTCTGAGGCGACTACTCAAGGGGCCGACAAAAAGTGGTTGCTATGGACAGGCTCATGCATAGTGACATTGCTCATAGGAGAAAACATTGGGGATGTTTTTGGCTGGTCGCCATAGACAGGTGGTCGACATAGCAGGTTGGACTGTACCACAAATTAATTGAAGTACCATTAACCCTCGTGGGCAATAGTCACACGAACGTGTATGGGTTGGGATTGGAGATAAGACCAAGAGCCATATTCGTCAAGTTATGGGAGATCGCACGTACGATAGTAAGTAGCTAATACGAACTGTCGGTGGTTACTTTAGGCTTAGACGTGAACATAAATGATAGTCTTAAATGCAGCCAGAAGCGTGGGCACCAACGAACTGTCATCGTACGTCTGGGGTGAAGCCATTCGGCGCTCCTACACAATTTGCATTCCTTCAACTTCTTCTAAGTCTATCCGAAAGAGTAGCCATTTCTACTTCAAATTTTAGTATCCATACATATCAACTCCATATGGTGAAGGGATTCCTCTCCAGCCATTTGTGAACAGAAGTGTACTTGGTCGTTCCCTACGCAGGAACAGTCTTCTGCACCATGGAGAAACGACAGATCTATTCATGTCATGAATAAGGCGAATAAGAGAATAAACGGATAAGAAACGAGCAGTATTACCTTTAGAAGCGGAGCCGCGTTTGTAATGGTCCAAGCAAGTGGTGATAGGGTTTCTGGTAGCTTGGGTTCGCCAGCATCTACATTGAGTGAAAAGTTTAACAGAGTGACTTTCCCGCGTACTGCGGAAGCAGATTCATAGTTGGGAAACGAGCTGCCCATCCATTTTCCCGTGATAAAACCGTTTTTGGCCAGTCTCAGAGATTCTTGCACAGATGCACTCGTTTCAGGGGCTGAGAAAGCTGACTTAACCAAATGTTCCACCGCAATCCCCTCAACAGGATCGTTGGTGTCGAAGGTTGCAGATTGTACGAATTGTGTGGACTGATAGTCCCAGTCAAAACATAATCCGTGAATAAGCAACTCTCCTTTTTGTCTCACTACCAAGCCGACTTCAAACTGTTCGAAAGAGTGTAAAAAAGCAAATGAAAACAAGAAAGCAGAAGAATGCGGTAGACGGAAATTCATTCGACGACCATTATAACGAGTCAAAGTTGTGGGAGGAATGCTGGAACGTGGGCAGCGCGAGACAAAGGTATGGGGCAAATGCAGAAGCAAGCCGGCTACTCATTGAGCAGACAGTAGTAAGACAGAGACTGTCACAATGGTATCGTCCGAACGGAATGTCGGTTTTAAGTTTAAAAGCATTACATGTAATATGCATATATAACGTTACGTAATACGCGACAACTCATCATCACTACGTTCAAACAGTGCGCAAGCGTCGGTGAAAATACAGCACCTGATTGGCTAACTTATGCGCTCGGACTCTCGCCTCAAAGCGAAAGACGTACAGCAATTAACAAAGTACCGCGAACGAATGCAGTGCAACCAATAAGATGCATGGATATCCAACAGACGCTTTTAGCCCTGGAATGGGGATACAAGTGAAGTGTCGGTCGTGGATGAAGCCAAAATGTCCTGCGCTATCCCAAGTTCAAAAAATGAAGGCGGGAACAATGTAGTAGCTCATGAGGTTGACAGCATGATGGGGGTATAGTGCGAAAATGTTGAAGGGGGCCAGAAAAAGCCCTTGATAGACACGATGGGCTTTCAGGCATAACGGAACGATGGAATGTCGTATACAAGATGCATTGTCGAAATTGCGATACGAGCTATGTGAGTCAGATAAATAGTAAATTGCTGACAAAAACACAAGATCACAAGTAAGTTCGTAGAAGCGATCACGTATAATCTTTGTTTCGGGACACATCGCAAAGGGACACATTTTGGATCAGACCAAAACGGAGATTCTGATTCGAGGAAAAACAAAGAAAGAAAGAGCGCCTCGAAGCCCGGTTTCCTCAAGGAATGCAACAATGAAACTCATTGATTTCCAACCGGTTTACCGGCAAACTGGCAAAAAAGATATCATATGAAACGCAAACTACTGCTTGAGAGAAAGCTTAAGACAACGAACGGAACGCCTACGCAAACACGTCCTGAGACCAAGTAGACCAGTAGACTGGCAAGGCTCCATCAGACGTTGTAATTATTTTCATAACGACCTATGGAAAACGCCTATATGTATCCTGAGTGTAACAAGGAGTAACCAATCAGGATGAAACGTTTGGAAAAGCCGGGTTTATGACCAATAAGAACCGTCTCCCGATCTGCTTCAAGATCAGCATTCACGAATGAAGCTACATAGCAGTGAGCATTGGACGTGTTACCTACAGTGTTGGCGAAACGCCTGCAAAAAAGTTGCACGGTTCGCGATTAGTTCGACTACGAAGTTAGAGGGAAGCGAGTGGATTTGGAAGCCGAGAAACACCCCAACAGTGGTGAAGAGTTCGGAGAAAGGATTTCAAGTAATAGTAAGAAAAAATTTCAAAAACGAGTTTGGGCAACGAACATGAGAGCATATAGAAGCTGCTTGTAATATTAAGGGCGATGCTGGAAGGAAATGGGTATACTAATCCGTCGTTCATGCGCCATGCAGTTTCAGATGCTGCGGTATAAATTAAAGTATGTTTTGTGCAGATACAGCTTTCTCAATGATGGTTGGAACACAGTTGGGCAATAAGTGATGATAATAGGTCTAAAGCTCCGACGATTCGCACACTGGCAATTTATGGAAAAGTGGACAGAAACTTACAGTTTTGTTCTCTTCGGGTAGAAGGATTAGTTCGGAGAGGACGTCAGTGGAGACGAGCTGCCGGATGGATCGAGAGGTAGCGACAACTGAATTGGTCTCGTTGGAGATCACACGTAAGTGTTGAGGTTGCTGCTGAAGTAGGCCAGTGGTGGTCCGTGAGGAATCCAATTGAAAGGACCAAAGGAGATGTAGATTGTGCAACACCAGTGGAATATGCATTGGATTACTGAGTGGGAATTGACAAGTGATGGGTTCTGAGACAGGCGATTGGAGGAGAAGGAAAAGGAGAAAGATAAGCAGATGATACAACTAATCAACTATCGTATGTCACTAGTAAGTGGTTGTAGATTGATATTCAGACTCTTGGAGAGAGGGATATCCGACCGTTTGGGGCAACCAGTGTCGAGCGGGGTGGTTGTAAAGAGGCAAAGACAACCTGACAACAATGGAGTGCGGTGGAGAAGCATAAACTCAAAGGGAAGAAAAGGTGCACGAAAGGGGGTGAAATACCATAAAATTCACATAAAAGGGTCAAATACAAGGACGCCGTCGTATTTTTTGACCGCGTTATGTAGGAAGGAGTCGCAAACAAAGGCGTGACACATCTCGGAGCCCCACCCATTCGGCAATCTCTGGAGTGGTCCCGAGAGCAAAATATAAAAAGCGCAGCCATGGTCTTAAAGAAACACAGACTTGATAATGAGCATACGAGTAAAATTAATGCCCCTGAGGCATCTGAACACAAGCAAAAAGGAACGTAACACGGAAGCAAGATTAGCGTCCACACAATAAATCCCGGAGATGGCTTCATTGTTTGCATGGGCAGAGAATGGCATAGGCAGAACATGGTCATTACAACGATACCGAATTTAAAACACGGTATCAAGGTTTATATACCTCCTCAACCCATTGAGCTATAGTGGGTGGCGCACCCGGTCCCCTTGAGAACTACACCTACCAGTTTGCTCAACTGCTGGACGTCAGTCAAACTCAGTCTCATGGTCCTCCAAGTTGGTGGTTGGAAAATGGATGGCGACTATTTCTGTAAAACCTACTCGTTGCCAAATCTATGCTACCTGGCAGAGATGCCTACGACCAAAAGAATTTGGTTGAGGATTAGAATATTTTTCCTGTTTAGGTTTGGCATCTTAGATGTGTCTCAGCATATGTACAAACAGGAATATATCAGCAAACTTCAACCACATCCTGCATCAGCCGTCTTGCAGCTATAAAAGGGCCGCCTCATTCGCAGCATATAACAGCGCAGATAAACGCAAACATGCTAGGGCCAACGCATCCCTTTTGAGGCAGTTCCTCTCATGCTCTTCAGACCCCCATTACTGACTTTCCTTTCATAATTGCAATCTTAATTAACATCTGCTACGATAATACTAGTTTCACCATATGCACTTAACTTCCGCGTCACAAATTGGAGTTAAAAAGGCAACAGTAACTAACAAGACTACGCTCTCGTGTTTCCTAAACAGCGTTCAACATTCGCAATCTAAGATAAATAGATCAAAGGGCAGGCAGGTTAAGCACCCCGGGTGTCGATGTGCTGTCAAACCGGAGCCAGAATTAATGGCCGAAAAAGGGTTGTTGAACTAAATGCGCCCGACTTGCCTTCACCCTAATGACTACACGCATCCGAAGATGTAGATGAGGCAACCGCTGATAAAGGTGGGTGGGCATCGTTTTCAGCCCAAAGACTGAGTCCGTTAGATTCAGTCCAATGGGATGACTATGATCCGAGCACCAAAATGTGGTGAATCCAGTTGTCACGACTCACATCGCAAGAAAAACAATAAACATCAACAGCAAGATAGTGGAGTTGGAGGCAAACTGAATGTAGAGAAAATGAAAGCAAGTAGAAAATGCATCTGACTAACCAAAATGGAACAAAAGCAACTAGATGCAAGAACCCGAATGCACCAACGACACGAACTGCGTGACTGCGCCAGGTTTGGAAGGAAGCAACCACTGGTGTGGATTATCCCGCGGCCCATGAACACGAAGATGACACGCAACAGCATAACCAAGACTCTTAGTAAATCTCTTCGTGCCTCCCTCCAGCGCCATGAACTGGCCATCTTGTGGTTCCGTTCTAATTGGCGCAGCCACGGCGTAAAATGTACGCCGAAGAAACCAGTCAAGGAACAAACGGAGGACATGGTCTAGCCAACATAAGCAATTAACATTCAGCAAACACTCCAGTGTAGGACCAAAAGGCATGTTGCTATAAACCAACTGGCGCACCTCAGCATTGTATAACCGGAGTTACTAGACGTCAACAATAATCCGCAATCACCGGCCAAGCGTTTGACGCCTTTGCCGGGTACTGGCAAGGCGTCTGATAAATACAGTAACATGGGCCTTACCGCACCGATATACACCCTACCTTTCACTGACAGACTAATATCCCGCCGTCTCTGTAGATGATTAAGCCTCTGCAAGGCTACACGGGCCTTGCTGATACACGAATTAACTTCCTCAGTGATATGACCACCAGAGGTGACATAACGAAAAGGTAAGTAAACCGATCCACTATTTCTAGTGGCTGTTCAGTGACAGCTAAAACCGGTGGTGTGCCAGCTCAGTCCTGTAAAAGCACTTTGCATTTGAACGTGCAAATCACGTGCAAAAGCGTGCAGCGCTAGGCCCCAGTCTATCCAGTAGTGTTTGCATAGTCAGTGTGTCAGACACAAGGAGAGCTATGTTGTCCGCATACCCGAGGTTGCTCAGTCGGTCACCTGACAAAACTTCCACTCCGGTAGAGTCTTGAGGAACCGAGTCATTCATGATCATTCCAATCGCAAAGTTGAAGAAGAAAGGATATATAGGGCAACGCTGGCGAACAATTGTTGTGAGGAGCTCAGAAGACAGTTTCCCGTAGATCCTTACACGGCTCCCGGAATCACAATAGAGGGACTACAAAATGGAAAGGAGTTTAGCTGGCACGCGTTTCATAGACAAAGAGCGCCATAAGGTGGCGCGCGCAACAGAGTCGAATGCGGATTTTAAGTTAAGAAAAATCGCCATAGTCAGTCGTGTGTGTCTCTACTCTAAAACTTGGTGAAGAGAAAATAGGTGTTTGATGCCAGCACAACCAGAGCGGAAACCAGCCTGGTTTCAGCGATCCGGTTCTCACGGTGACGAGTAAGTGATGAGAAGCTTGGAGGCAATGGAGATAAGACAAATGATTCGATGATTTTCACTGACCCTCCTTGGTGATGAGTACGACAGCTGACAGTGGCCAAGCTGAAGGCACCTCTTCAGTGTCCTAAATCGTGTTAAAGAGAACAGCAAGTCCAGACAACAAAGAGTCACTTCCATCTTTTAGCAAAGTTTGAGGAAGCTCGTCGGGTCCAGGACTGGATTCCCGTAGGCAGCTGTTTGTGTGTAGCCCGTTAGACGAAATCAAGTGAGATGGGTTCACAAAGCAGTACTAGACACTGTTTGTTTGTGGTTGTCGTTTATGCCCCCACCGAATGGAGTTAGGATGCTGCCAAAAACATCTTTTACCATGTGATAGTAACGCTGCCAAGCAGCGTGTAGAATTTAACCCATCTCCAGGTTGCGGATAGAGGAATGATTTCCTTGTCAAAGTAACGTGCATAAGCCTTGAGATGAGTAAGCAGTCGTGGACAATCAGCGGCAGTTACAGAACGGGGCGGGATCTAAGCTGGTTAGCTGGGTTCTCGCTAAATACCAAAAGAGATCATACCGTGCTGGGTCAAAGCCAATACGACCGGTAATAGGGCCACTGATCGCACACCGGAAGTGAGCATAAAATGGAGGGAAGAGGTACAACGTTGCTGGTCACCTGCTTCCACCCGATGAACTAAACACGATGCAGTCGCGTGAGCCAACTCGATGTCAACAGTGTAGATACCTGGCTGCGCGTTCGGTCGTATAGCAAACTACTTCCGGCCTCCGTGGTTCTAAACTACGGCTCACTAGGTGCACTGAATAGTTTGTTCCCACTCAAAAGCCGTGTCACCCTCGTTTTGGTAGCCAAAACCAAACAGGTCGCGATATACGTTAATCGCCCCGCTGCATTGCGAACCAAGCATTAATGGCTCAAAGCTAGGGGCTGGGTCCATTAAGCCAACAATAATTCTCGGCATGAGCAACCGGGAAGTACAATGCCCACAAAACCTATGAATCAGCAGCATCATGATTACACGTTACCTAAAGGTAAGAAACACAAGGCGATGATTTCACAACACAAACAGATAATACACATGAAAAAGCGAGATAGAAAATATCACACATTTAAAATAAAAACTAAAAATAATTAATATACTCAATATCACATTATGCTTCGGTTGTGAAATCGCATTAGGAGGCGAAATACAAGCGGAGGGGAGAGACAAAGAATGTAACCCCACCAATGTCATTGAGATCGGCTCTTCATCATATGAAAATGTGTATAAAACCACGTGTTCGACGTCCTTCGGAGGAAAGGCCGGCAGTAGGGAGACACCAACCGACAACAAGTTAGAAGTGAAGGTCGTTATTCCTCATGACGAAATGATGGTTTATCCTCCCATCCTCAAATCACATCCAAACCCCCAAGTCTCGCAAACAATGCACGACGCAAGCGTCAGTGTACTGGAATGCGCAACACGTGGCCCAGCCATCGGAGACTGGTGTTGAGCGATTCACTCGTTATTCCTTCAACAACTACGAGACGCCGACCACGCGGTGTTCCACAAAACATGAGCTAAACTGCGAAAGTGGCGATAGCCGCACGTAACTTGCCCTTAGGTTTATCTATCTGATGGGCCAGGTTTCGCAGCTGTACAGGAGAGTTGAACGGACGGCTGCAATGGAAACTCTATCCTTCAGGACGAGAGCGATGCCACACCTAGGCACAAGTGGCAGGGATTGGCGAAAGCACGTCCTGCTTTTGTTAATATACCTTACTTAGTTAAATTTCTGAACAACACCGCTAAGAGTCAGCCCATGAGGCGGTCGCTGCCAACCATAGATAAAGACTTTTGGTTTCGAAGGTGAAAATTATATCCGGAAATGATGAAAAGTGAGTGATAATTTTTTCAGCGCTACTTGGCATGTTTGGGAACTGTCACCGATAAGGGCAATTTCGTCGCCGTACTGCAAGTCGAGTAGGCACACTCCTCGTAGGTTGTACATAGAAAACGCACTTACATGAGTTCTTCGATACATAAGGCAGGCAACCTTGTCTCACACCCATGGAGATACTGAGTGGGAAGAACAGCATGTCATAAGC